AGTTGAGGTAAAAATATCCGTATGCATTCTTTGCAGCAGGTGTTTCGACCTCATAGGCTTTGATGTTCACTTGTTGCAGATACAGACTTCTTACATCAAACTCCTATGTTGCAAAGACAACCATCCAAACTTCAATACACTGGTTGGAGTAAGATATTTCATGTTTAAAAGTGCTTAAGAAACAAGTTTTAGATCTTGATGAAACTTATGTTTTGATTTGAGATGCGGTGTTTTGGCAGTAATATTCGTGCGCAATCAAACGGGTCGATTCTAATTATTGGAACTACGATGTTTACTAGTCAGTTCTGTGCCTTGTAATATTTATTGTTTAATGGCGATCCTTATGCCGAAACAAAAGAGGACCTCTTCATAAAACTAGATTTAAAATAGACGCTGTATAAACTGGACCACGTATGCCAATGCTAAATAAACCACAAGTAAATATCCTAGGCTTGTGTTTAGAATAAACAATTATTGAGATATTTTTAGGATTATTTTCATTCTTTCTTTTTCTTTTGTGTTTGGATATTTTCCGCGAGGCTACGTTTCTCCACTACCATCCGTATGATGGAACCAATTTCTGCGGTACTCGGAAGTTTTGATTACGCCAACAGATACAAGCTATTTAAATCTTACCTTACTAAGTAATAAGTGGTTTTTTCGTCTTATGGTGTTTTCGTAAACTAAACTGTACCGAGGAACAAACCGAATTACTTTTATATTTATTATGGGAACTTTATGGATGTATATTAATTCCCATTGATCAGATATAAAATAAGATAGCGAAATTTCGAAAATATGTGACATAGTTCGTTTCCGTATTTACTGTTGTGGCGCCTCGTAGGATTTGCTTCATGCATTAAACGATTGCTAAGCAACGAAATATTTGTGGGCATAGAACATTTTATGCAACATAAAATCGAATGTTGTCTCCTAGTAATTAGACCACAGACAAAAAGACGAAAATTAGTCAAAGTAGAGATTAAAGTTGTTTATATGTAGTCCTTATGAGCATCGCATTATATTCTGATTTCAATTCAATTAATTTAATTCGCAAATATAAATCCAAAGAAAAAGTAGCTCATTTTTTATTCTTATCTTCCCTTATCTGAGCGAATTTAGGTAGGTTAAATCTTCCTGGGCACAAAATACGTTTTAAAATGTTCTGAATATTTACGTGCAGAGACATCCTGTGTTCTAAGCACTTCCAGCAAATAAAGTAGATTTTAAAGTAAGTCCATGAATAAAGTAGGATTAGACAGATTCTAGGACATGTTTATGGCTTCACAACAAGGAAATGAAAATTATGTAACACGGTCGTCTAATTTCGTTGAATGCATTGGGTTATTTAGTAACAAAATAAATCAGTAAGTCCCAGGAGAAAGAATAATGTCTCAGGCACGAATAGACAGACACTGCTCTAAATCTACGGAGCGAGGCTCTCGGACGTGTTTCGCCACTTCAAGCATCAGCCACGGGGCCATGTCCGTCTCAGCTCGCCAATTTTAACACGTTTTTGCATCCAGCGTAACGTAACGTAGTTAGGTGTAACTTCCCTCGTGTTCATAAAGCTTTGTGATAGTAATGTAATGCAGTCATGGGAGGAATTCTTTGTGAAACGCCCGCTTGTGGTTTTTGAAGGTACGCAACAGTCTTAAGACTGGCCATATCTGGTGCTCATTACGTGCCGTCAGTGTTTGTTGGACGAAATTTTATTTTGGTGTGTTGGTTTTAATGACAAAAGAACTTCTACGTTTCGGGTGATACTTACGTCCTCGACTTCAGGTAAAACAAAATGGTACTACTCTCCTCCTGACACGTTACATAAAACTGATCTTATCGCTGAGTATAAAGGACCAGAAAACTGAAATTGGGTGAGATTTACTATGCTCTTCAATGACTTGTACCTTTATAACGTTGTTCTTATTAACCGTTTCAACAAATAAACCAGTAAGTAAATCGAGGAAGGTGACATGACTAGGAGATACAGCATTTATGTAACATTTTGGGTGTAAAATAACAAGAGACTGTTCAATAGAAATGTTTTTCAAAAACAAACCACTTCCTGGGATCGTCAGTTTACAGCTTAGTGTCGTAAAGTGTTCGATTTTGTTCAAAACTATAAAATATTGTCCGCGATGTTATTGTTCGTGACACTGTTTATACAATTTTGCCCTCAAATGATCAGTATTCATGAAATGGCACAGGAGCATGGTCACTGGGGGCCACGCCACGTTGTAATTACATTGATAATAATCGTAGGTACTGTGACAACTTGCAAGGAAAATGTATTACAAGTGTAATTAAATTTTTAATTCTACAATTTTGCATGTCAGGTAATTTTAGAAAATTATTCAGTATACGTAATTAAAATTTCTATAAAATACTAAACTTGGTACATACTAACTTTTCGGATGAATGTAGGTCCACACGGCGTTACTGCCCAAAAGATAACGTCGACATTTTCACAGCTGTCTTGAGAACCTCAAATCTAACCCACGTTACGTTACATTATATTACATTACATTGAGCGGATTACTTGGACTTGCAATGACGGTGAGTACATGCTGCCTGCGTTCCTGCCTGTATCCGTATATAACGGTCGGACCACTGGACCACTGGACCACAGCACATTACATATGGGCCTCGGAGGAGAAATAACTTTGCCCTAGTTACGTTTATAGTCGAAACCTCGCGTTTAAGAACAGCCTGGGGATGAAAGCCTTGGTACAGCATATAACCACGTCTCGTACGAAGACATACCACAGAGAGGAGAATGACGTCTTCACGTTAATTCAGATGTGGGGGCAGAAGTCAACGGAGTTAACGCAAAACATCGTTGATGTTCCATTGCTAGGTAAATCATTTAGTTACACTGAGAATTAATTGAGCTGCTATAGTTAATTCTGTGAAGCTCAAAGATATGGATGAGTCCGGCCGTAAGAAGGTTTGAGGACTGGCACGCCAGTTTGTAAGTGATGTTTTTACTTACCCGGCTGTCGATTTAGGAAGGAAAATCGTCCTGATGATTGAGGCAGCAAGGACCTCTGAAACGTTGGTAAGATTCTACCACACTAGACGGTACTGCAACCCACAAGACAGCCTGGCGTGAGAATCTCAGAATTTACTAGCGAGTACTTAAAATATCAACTCGAGTCTTTAAATAATATTAACGTGTTTTATCATAGTGCCGTTCCGCCTTTGGAAGTCTCGGTAAATGAAGTATGTTGTTCTACAAGACTTATAATATTGGTTTATATAATCAGCCAGTCAGAAGATGCTTGGCTTTAAGAATTGTTCACATACCACAAAAAATACGATGTTACAGGCCTAACGTGCGGAACAAAAGTATTGCCATGCGATTTGTCGTAGTAACTGTAAAACACAAAGAACCTCAAAAGTATAGTTTGATTCCAACATATCAAGTAAACAAGGTCTGCGTAACCGATCTTTGGGTGCTTCCACTTATATAAAATTCTTTGGTTGAGAGGCTTTTTCATTCTGTTTTCGTCTCGTTGATAGCAGATCATAGCCGACTTAATCGTAAAATAGGAAAGTTTTTCCAATACTATTTCGTTGTTTCATCTTTTGGCATATGATAAAATAGGTTTAGAGAGACTGAATATAATTTAGGATTAATATAGGCTCATCAGAAAATGTGAAAGTGGTATTAATAATTAATTCGGGCACAATTTCTTAAATTTTGAATGGTTCTGTCACGACTTAAACGCAACGTGGTGTGGGACCCACTCGACTTTTTAATATCTAGTTTTATTAACGGTAACTTACATTTGCAGGTCCTAAATACGCGTCCCGGGGCCTCAAAATGTATTAGTTTCTTAGAGCTAGGAATCATACGTAAATAAGCGGCTCTGTGATGTGAAATGTTTCCTCACACAGTTGGATATATTCATGGAATCAGCATTATTATTTATTATTACAGTATAATGGTTCTAAAGAACTGGTTTCTTCTTGATTATCTGATTAATCTTTAGGTCTTTTCAAGGTTCAGGAAACTTTTAAAAACACTGTAGTTGTGAAATACTACGGTTTCCTTTACCACTTCAGTACCTGACTGCTTGCAGGATCTAAAGGAACAGGCCGTCACAAGTTTGTACGTCGAGACTTGGTAGTATTCAAGTGTCAGAAGAAATGCACATCCGTAGAACAAATGTGTTTCCTTTTGTTCAGTGTCCGCGCCTGGTTAAAGCCGGCTGTAATCTCATCCAACCTTCATTCTGAGGGATTGAACCGCTTATGACTTCCATGGCCGCAAACTATAGTTTACTGTCCATTCGAAAGTTTATTTTCCAAACTCTTGAATCAGTGCACCTTCTGGTTCCTTGTTTGTTGGGTGTGAGATTAAAGGAAATAATTATTCGATCTGCCGATGAATAGACAAATTAATGAAGTATGATCACCTTTATTTATGTCAATTTTTCCTCTTAACGAAATTTAAGGCTAAGATTCAAAAGTTTCAGTATGGAATTTGAGGTCCTCACTGCGCTGAAGATATCGACATAGTCTTTTGGGTTGTGTGCCATGTGGACAAGTAGGTAGACCATTTCGGCAATATACTTCATCCATCTTCAGGGCTGATCATTTGTCAACATGGCATTACAATGCAGAGAACCAGCATCCACAAATGTTTTTGAGGATAGGAAGTTATAAATTTACAATTACTCTTTATTGAATACTCTTTTACTTGAGTGTGCAGATTGAAACTACGTTAAATTTGCAGAATATTGCATCAAATAAATAATGTGCTTTTTTAGTAGTAGATTATCTTAAGACGAACTCATTCAAAGAAGAATCAATTTATTGTTCATTTTCTTTAGTTATTGGGCAATTATAATACTGCAGTATCGGTGAAAACACGTAGACGACACTGGAAATTTCGTTACGAATTTAAAAAGTAAAGTATACTGATTATAAAAATGGATACAGCGTAAAACGTGAAACTTAAGTATACTACTAAAACATGATTATTTATTGTGCAGGATTTGAGGTTCTCACGGAGGCGAATATGAAGGATGTTCACCCTGATGATGGAGGTAGCAAGCACACTTGCAACATCAGTAATCTTCCAAGCTATACGGCACCACAACCCAGAAGACGATCATCTTCATTTGTTATGCATTTCTTCCTGTTAATGAACCAGAAAATTATTTAATAAAGAAAAAATTCTGGTTAAGGAGTTGGTCACCAAGCCAACTTCTTTTTAGAAACACAGCTAAAAGACGATGATTGCTTCATTGATTGATTTCATTTACATTTTATGTCGTGAAGGTTATGAAGATCATAAATTAGTACTCGGTATCTAAATTATGACCATAGTAGTCTTCAGTGATCTGCTCAGGAAGGACTCTGCCCGTGGAGTAAATAGTCGTCACCAAATTCGATGCTTTAACGCCACAAATCAAACACCCCCCCCCCCCCCCCCCCGGGGCCTTACTGTGCGGGTTATCCTGCAAGTTCGGAGTTGTCTTTACTCACATGGGCTCCGCTGTTCGTGTTACAACGTTATACGATTTTCCTGTGACCTTTAAGCATGCTGTTTGGTGACGGCTACTATTGGCCTGCTCTAATAAATTACCCTATTTTCCGAGTCAAAATGAAATAGAACGTGAGAGCAAAATGAGACAGTAGGACCTATTAATCGCCGCGGGTTACATTCACTGCTTAATTGAAAGGATGAAAGACCGGCAGAACAAATATGAACTATTAAAATCAAATATGCCATTCAACTCGTTTTCACAGGTCACTGATACTTTACAAATGAGATGGGGAAAAAAACATGTTTGTTGTTATGGAAGTATTTCAAGTTATTCTCATGAACTGATTCAATAGACTCCAGTATGAAACAGGGCACAAAGAAACTGCATAATTAAATTCCCAGGATTTATTTTCAGTTTGATGTATTTGTTTCATAAGAGTTTAACTTTCATACATGAAAGTTCATAGCACGAGAGACGCAATTTTGGCTGGGTTTGCTTAACACTGGATGAGAATTATGAGGATGAGATTATGAAAAATGTTTATAATTTCCAAGTACCGAATAATTAAGTACTAGGAATAGGACTGTACTCTTCAAGCATAAGCTAGATGGCGTTGGTTTGGGCTGTATTTGGACTTAAGAGACAAGTAGAGGCAGTGACAAGGAACTGTAAAATATGTTTATCAGTATAAATGGTAGAACATTACATTTTTACAAACTAATGGAATATGAATGGGGACCGGAAGTTTATACTATTGTATGTAACCGAAAACTTAGTAATGCTGATGATCGCCCTGATAATGGAGGCAGCAGGGACTTCTGAAACGCAACATCTCACAAGACAACCATCTTCATATAAATGGAACTGTTCCTGGATCGTGTCTAAAAGTGAAATCTGGTTTCTGCTACCAGTGTCATAGTAGCCGTCATAAAATTTCATACTTCAAGGTTACACAAGGACTTCACGTCCTCCTTACCTCGCGGCCCTAGATCACAAAGCACAGTGCTGCTGGCTTTGCTACGCTGTGAGTTCTGAACTGTTTTTACTCACCCGAGCTCCGCTGTTCGTTTTGAAAAGTTGTGCGATTTTGCGGTGACCTTGAAACTTACAATTTGGTGGATACTCTAGTTAGTTTAAGCATTCGTTACATAATTCTCCTCACTGTTACTCAGTCACACTTGTTTATTAATGCATCATCTCTCTCTGCATGAATATGTACTGAGAGAGGAGGCAGCAGGCAATACCACTTCAGAATTCATCCCGAGAGATTGAGGGGAAGCAAATAGACTAGAACCATGCTTCATATACCCACACTCCAGTGTGCCAACCTCGCCACGTGTTAAATCTAAATTTACTTCATCGTATGGTAAAATGACGTAGGCGTACTGATATCTTAGAAAGAGTTACAAGGAGTTTAAAATCACACCTATATGAGCATGTGGGATCGATCGATCGATACCTCCTGTCGCTAATACCTACATTGTTTGTACTTTAATCCAAACAGGAATGGATACATGAAAACAAACCAAGTAATAAAAGCACACACACACAAAAAAAGCATTCCGATTTAATTATTAAATTCAACTTCGCTGGCTTACTTGAATTAGTGAAATTAATTTTTAACTTGTTTCAATTACTGTGAATGGTCATGTATGTGTAATGGAGTTGTTTTTGAAATGGGGTCTGTTAATTGTATTATTTATACACCGGAAGGAAAAAAGGACCATACTGCGTTTTGTTTTGATAATGTTTTGCGCACAGTGGGGATATAATATTTCTGTCTATCAGTTAGCAGATCCTCTATTTTAGTATTTGCGTAACACATAATTTAAGTTAAATTGGCTCCGTGATCATTATTATTCCCAGAAAATATTGTTAATATTGACCATGTTGTTGAAATCATAGTTGTTCTTGTTGCATGTTTCTAATTCCAAAACATTTTCCGAGGTAGGAATTAAAGGTCATACGAAATATTCTTTATTAGTAAAATGAAAGGCACTAATAGACGACAGTTATGGAGCACCGAAAAGAAGAAGGCGAATATCAGTAATCACCGAGGCTTGTGTCGCAGAGGGCTGTTGAGGATTTGTTGCTCAAATATCGTCATTTTCAATATGAAACTAACTTAAGATAATTTAAAGAATCGAGATCTTTTTCAACCTACTCAGAGTTAGAGTAGAAAAAGTGTTTTATGAAATGGAGCTGTTTACCTGATGGCAAATTTAGCTTGTTTGCAAGTAATTTTTGTCCTGATTTCACTATTCCTTGCTGAGTTTCTTTGTGGTTTCTCCAAATTCCTCCATAACATCGCTGGGATATTGCCTTCCAAATTGTTTGACTTTGATTTGTTTTTCTTTTTATGTGTGTGATCTAAACATCTTCAACAGACTCGTTAAATAAACTAAGAAATAATAATAATAATAACAAAAACTGCAACAATAATAACAGTAATAATTTGCAGCACAAACCGTCTTTTGAAATGAATGCATAATACTTTACAGGAACAGAGAAATAATTGCGAATAAGAAGATACATCTTAATATGCATAAGAGGGATAGACATAACGAATAAAGAAGAACACCTAATTGAGAGAAGTTTTAAGAATAATAACCTAAAATAAATGTACATAGAAAATTTAACAATGCATATAAAAAGATTAATGTGTTCTGGAGTATTGTGTCGTGTAGTTTGGTAGTAGTTTTACATTTTAAAGACGTTCTTGCTGTTTCATCATTGCCGTAGTAATGCAGGCAGCAAGCACCTCTGAAAAGTCGATAATATTATTCTAGACTGCACGGAGCGACATTTTAAAGTCGGCCAACATCTTAAAATTAAATGGATATTTAAGAAGAACGGGGTGAATTTGTGGAATTAATTTGGGCCTAACTGGCTGGGGTAGTTTTCAAATCTCCCGTTTTGAACACGCTCGAGAATTTTTGGGTTCCATAAAATACAAATAACTGCTTGGCCATCTGAGTCACCATAAATTTCTGCTCCATGAGGTTAGTTTTAAAATTATGCCACCAGTTGGAAAGTGGTCCTGATTCTTGTGAACACTATACTAAAACACGTCGTTCAACATTGCAGTTAGTGAGATAGAATCTGTTGCTCTAACGCGAACCTCTGCGATCTTCAGCGTTATAAATCACACGATCTTAATGAATATTCATGGCTCAGTAAGTGCTTCCAGTAGACAAGTCACCTGTACTAATTTAGGACTATCCGAACAAGGATGCAGTTAACTGTTAACTACCCACCATGAATTATTAATCTTTTTAGTGATTGCAATAAGGATTACCGCAAGGTAAGGTTCTACAGAATGCACATTAAGCGTGGGATGGACTGTTGTTGAATGGCTTGGAGGTCATTACACTGTAATGTACGGTACCTGCCTTTTCTAATCAGAACTGCAGTCTCAGACCAATGACAATCCATTTTATTGAGCGACATTTCTCTTCTGCGTCGTGCCTAATAACCAGGATTTAAAACCCGTGTATGACGGCACTGTGGCTCACTGAACATCCTCTCGATTGCAGATCAGAGACTGTTCGTCCGGCAGAATGAAACTTGATTATTCTCCCAATGTGTCGCTAGCAACCGAGTTAGCTGCGTCGTTTATTTGAATATAATTTTTCTCCTTCGGGATTCGTTGATTCATTATAACAGAATTATGCTGATAAATATCAGTCTTGCCTAAGGGCCCAACACAGTAGACACCTTCTTTAGTACTTGTCTAAAGACAGAAATAGAAAGTCAGTTTCCGGAACGAAGTAAATTTTAGAATTCTTAGTTTTTGTTGTTGTAAATTTTGTGACTGGTGTAGTTTAAATATAAGACAATCCTTAGAGTCAAAATGTGCAGCGACGTAACGACTTGCCTTAGGAAAGAAATACAAACATTTTACATTAAATCAGATCGTTTGCAACAACATTTTCCTTGTATGATTTGAGGTTTTCACAGCGGTGAGTATGAAGATTTCTGTCTTATGGGTTGTTGCGCCGTGTATTATGGTAGATGTTTACCAAATTTTCAGAGGTCATACTGCCTCCGTCATCAGGGCGATTCTTAGTATGAAGATTTCTGTCTTCTGGGTTGTTGCGCTGTGTAGTCTGGTAGATGTTTACCAAATTTTCAGAGGTCATACTGCCTCCGTCACGGCGCAACAACCCAGAAGTCAGAAATCTTCAACATTTTCCTCGTTCACATTTTTCCGTATTTTGCAACAACAAAAAACAGTTATCGTATCACCTCGAACTTGTGGGAAGCCTAATTTACCAAATTTCTTCTTTGATTTTGCATCATTGTTCCTATTAGGTGCAAATTTAAAACTGCTGAACAGTTCACGCTACACGGGGACGTCAATTTTGCGTGTGTGTCCGACAGAAGACCTGAAAAGATCAGCACAGTTTATTTTAAGGAAATCGCAGATTTTTAGTCAGACAACGACAAACATATATTCTAAAGTGTGAATATCATATAGTACTTACTTTTGCTGCTATCATAGGGCCGGATTATAATTCAGTAATCTAGCATGGACTGAGTACTTAAGTTTGAAGCGTCCCTGAAGTCAGTTTTCTGGGCAAGTGAAATGTAGCACAATTAACAGTAGAACTCTACATCTGATAACTTGATACTTGATAGCGACTGTGCAAGAATGTGGGTTTCCTATTCCCATTTCCATCCCAAGAAGCAAAACCAACTGAACTCGACACTAGCGACACTAGAGAGATGTAGTCAGAAGGCCGCTGTGGCTGTATACGACACTTGAGGACAGCAAAACGCAGGAGTTCAAGTGGCACTGAAACAGCTAATTATTACGCAAATTAGAATAATTAATTATATTTTCTTGTCGTTTTCCACAAATATGTTACGTTCGTGTAGTACAATATGTTCCACAAAGACGGTTTCCAATGTCTGAATGCCTCGAATTCTTTAAATACAGCTTAACGATCACGTCAATGTAGCGGATTAAAGATAAATCAGGTTTTCACGGCGCTGAGTATGAAGATGGTTGTGCCGTGTAGTCTCGTTGAACTTGACTGACGTTTCGGAGGTGCTCTGATGATGGAAGCAGTAAGCACCTCTGAATTACGGGTCAATTTCTACGAGGCTGCACAACGCAACATCGCAGAAGACTGTCATTTCACGCTGTGTACTTATATTTGGGAGTAAGCGATTTTAACCTTGCAGGATTACTGATGTTCCTAGCGATTTTCCTCAGTATTTTCATCTGAAGTTACGGTAGTTAACTCCTTACGTGTTTGTCATTCATGATAACTTTTCCATTTCTGTGTGGTAGCGAGTTTGGTGATTAATTAAAGCAGATTTAAGAATCAGCCATCAATATGTTATTCTAAATGTATATGCTTCACTTGTTGGGGTTTATTTTTAAATGACGCTAAATATCGTGAGTTATTCAGAAACTTGCTTAGGCCAATATTTCCATGGACCAATGACGTAACATTTCTGTAAATCAGTGTTTGTCAGTCTTCTGAGACATTACACCTTATAATATGTTAGATATTGACCGACGTTTCAAAGGCGTTTACTGCCTCCATTAACATCATCAGCATCAGCATCGCTCTGCAAAGTCATAAGCCTAATTTACCACGACAGTGTTTCAAAATGTAAATATCTGGGAACAACACTTACAGTTGCAATTGAACTCCATCATGAAAATATGGGAAAATAAATTCTTGTAAATTTATTATTGTTCAATTAGAAACCCGCGGCTTCCAAAAACTGTTAATATCAGAATGTACAGAACAGTTACTTTTATATACGTAAAACATATTCTTTAATTATAAGGTCACCGCAGAGATGCATATGTAGTAGGAAATAGCCTATATTTTAGCGATATAAATAAAAATTAAATTCGCCAAACAAATTTTAGTTTATATTTCTCCATAAAATATTTAATCGACGCCTATTCAATGATTTTCGCAATATAACCAAAATACGGGCGAAACTTCTCCACAAGATTTCACATCATATAATTAACGAACAGAGAGCCAATCCCGCAATCCGCAGCCTAGAAATAAGGTCCGGTGTAGTTTCTGCGTTCGTTATGATATTAAGCTTTGCCTTTAATCAGCACGCCTTAAATAGGTCTACAGCTTTTCTAACGCTAGGAACATAAAGTACGTTTCACGGAAGAAAAATGTGACTGTCGACTGACTTGGTTTCGCCAGGAGTCACGTTACGTGAGATCTCTGTCTGTCATCATGTTCTAAAATGGAAATTTCAAAGCTGAATCTACGAATAATTTATCTAACGCTATTTCGTATGAAGATTAAATTTTAACTTAATGAAGCCGATATTATTAAACGGATTTAGCTCAATTTTGCATACTCACATCACGCTTAAGGATCAAGGAAAAGTACATCTGCCCTCAGCTGTTGAACACTGCTCATGGTCGTATACATTTAAACAGTTAAGTTGAAGAGAAGAAGTCTAGAGTATGGTAGACTGTTCTGAAGTGTTATTCCATTTCCTGTTTTATGACGAAAATAAACTTATAAGATGTTGTTCTTCTGAGTTTTGGCACCGTGTATACTCATAGGTAGATTCTGACGTTTCGGAGAAACAAAATTTCTTTACTTAAGGACTGAAGTGTCGTTGGTGAGAAGTGATAGAATCTGTGCAGAGTTGGAGGGGAGTGGCTGAGGGAGTGCCTACCTGTTGGGCTCCTGGACCAGGGGACCAACAGATGGGCGTCCTATTTTCTTTTCTTTACCTGAAGACGGAAGCAGAATCCAACTTCCGAAACGTTTTGGTTTTATTATTTTATTTTTTATACGATGGGTAAAATACAAAAGAATTATTTTACATCCAACGAAATTAAACACGTTAATTAAATGTGTTCAACAAAATCTATAGTACATTCCACGTAGATAACCTTTTGTTTGAAGCATTTCCTGTTCAGAAAGGTGTAAACACGGAAACACTCTATCGCCTTTTTTTTTCCAACTTCGCTTTGGAATACGTGTCTCGTAGGTCCAAGGAATTAGAAGGGATTCAAATTAATTGTTACACGTCAGATATGATCTGTTCTGATGATTTTACTGTGTTTGGCAAAAAAATAAATATCATAAACAGAAACACAGAAAGTCTGTTTATGTTACTAAGGAGATGTGTGCAGAGATAAAAGCAGAAACAGTGTGCGTTCATGTCTCGCCACCAGAATGCAGCACAGAACACAGACAATAACTCGTTTAAATAATTACAGGTTTCAAATGTCTCTGTAGCAACAAATCCAAATAGAAATATCGAAGAACTGGTAAGCAGAATGAATTTGGAGATATCCTGCTACCATTCAGCTAAAAAAAAGTCCCATCTTCCAGTTTGCAGAATTGTAAAAATGTAATAACTGTAATTTTACATGTTTAACTTTTGTGGGATTCTGTAAGGGAAGAGCCTTGATTGAGGATGTTTGAGTATTGGGTGTTGAGGAAAACATTTGACCTGAGAAGGAAGAAGGAGGTGGATGTGCAGAGTAAATTACAGTAGGAAATGCTTAATAATAACACTCTTCTTTGCTCAGTCAAAAACCAGAGGATGAGATGAGCGTGACGTGTAGAAAGTATGGAGGACACTGAAATGTCCAGACTACTTTAGTCGGAGACCTATTCATGGGAATGAAAGTAATATTAAAACATTTGACAAAAGAAAGCAGCGAGATTGCGAACAGTAGTCTGTCTCAGGAAAGATGACAGTGACGTACCAGGGGACCAACAGATGGGCGTCCTATTTTCTTTTCTTTACCTGAAGACGGAAGCAGAATCCAACTTCCGAAACGTTTTGGTTTTATTATTTTATTTTTTATACGATGGGTAAAATACAAAAGAATTATTTTACATCCAACGAAATTAAACACGTTAATTAAATGTGTTCAACAAAATCTATAGTACATTCCACGTAGATAACCTTTTGTTTGAAGCATTTCCTGTTCAGAAAGGTGTAAACACGGAAACACTCTATCGCCTTTTTTTTTCCAACTTCGCTTTGGAATACGTGTCTCGTAGGTCCAAGGAATTAGAAGGGATTCAAATTAATTGTTACACGTCAGATATGATCTGTTCTGATGATTTTACTGTGTTTGGCAAAAAAATAAATATCATAAACAGAAACACAGAAAGTCTGTTTATGTTACTAAGGAGATGTGTGCAGAGATAAAAGCAGAAACAGTGTGCGTTCATGTCTCGCCACCAGAATGCAGCACAGAACACAGACAATAACTCGTTTAAATAATTACAGGTTTCAAATGTCTCTGTAGCAACAAATCCAAATAGAAATATCGAAGAACTGGTAAGCAGAATGAATTTGGAGATATCCTGCTACCATTCAGCTAAAAAAAAGTCCCATCTTCCAGTTTGCAGAATTGTAAAAATGTAATAACTGTAATTTTACATGTTTAACTTTTGTGGGATTCTGTAAGGGAAGAGCCTTGATTGAGGATGTTTGAGTATTGGGTGTTGAGGAAAACATTTGACCTGAGAAGGAAGAAGGAGGTGGATGTGCAGAGTAAATTACAGTAGGAAATGCTTAATAATAACACTCTTCTTTGCTCAGTCAAAAACCAGAGGATGAGATGAGCGTGACGTGTAGAAAGTATGGAGGACACTGAAATGTCCAGACTACTTTAGTCGGAGACCTATTCATGGGAATGAAAGTAATATTAAAACATTTGACAAAAGAAAGCAGCGAGATTGCGAACAGTAGTCTGTCTCAGGAAAGATGACAGTGACGTCTTTTGTGAACACGATAATGAACATTCTGGTTTCATGAAAACAGCAACTATTATTTTATGAACAAGTTGGTTATCAGCTTCTGCATTTTGAAGAAGTTGGAAATTAAAAAGTGCTCTTGTGGACAAGTCTCCAGTTTCATATCTCCATACCAAAGTCCATCCGTACCGATTTGTGGGTGTGTGTGTGGGTTGCGGGGGGGCGGCGGCGACGGCATAACTGTAGTTCGTAAGAACACCGACAGGTGGCAGCACGACCTCATCACCTGAAAGACCGATCAAGCTCGCAAGCGGAAAGTCAGTCAAAATTTAGTAATACAGATGGGCAGTTATTAAAGGACCCACAAGGTGCTTTACTTGCATTAAAGCATAACGGGTATCTAAAACTGTGTAGAATATAAAGTTTAAAGATTAAAACTGTAGGATTTCAGGTTTTCACGTCGGTGAGTCTGAAGATAGCTGTCTTCTGGGTTGTTGCGTTGTATAGTCTAGTAGAAGATTACCGTTGTTTCAGAGGTCGTTGCTGAGTCCATCATCACGGCGACGCCTCATCGCCCTTATGATGAAATTTTCTACCAGACTAACGGTGCAACAACCCCCTAAACAGCCATCTTCGACATCTAAAACTCATCAATAATCCCTTGCAAATCTTCGTCTTAAAATTGATCATAAAGTCAGTTTTCATAATAGTTTTCGTAATCGTAATGTATCGAACGAGTATCAGTTTACCTTGTTGGAGTTGTTAGAGTTAGTACTTCAAATACTTGATAACGTCTTCTTTCACTTCTCTCCATTTTTGTATTTGACGAACCTTTGCGCAAAGAGCGAATACTTAACCATATCGCTGTTTTACTGTACTTCTGTACCAAGTGAGAAATTTCAGGCTATTGTTAGGGAAACGTAACTGTTGGCTATGCTGGGACCAGCGTTCAAAGCGATTGAAGTTTGCGATGGAGGTTTACGTGTGAATTCTGTGAATAGTGTTGTGCCGAAGACTTGAGGTTTTATATTTGAAGTTTGTGTGATTGCATGATTCTTAACATGAAGAATAATTATTACATGAATATTCTGTACTACAGCGTCTTGTGGCTTCAGCATGCTGTTATATGTTTATGTTTATCGCTGTAGAAGTTCACCGCAAAATTGGGCGTTTTCAACAATTATTTTCTTTAGGATCATATCGCGCAAATAAATTGTCATTAATAATGTTTCAGAATATAAACTGGTCGGAATTATTTCCAACAAAGTTGAGTGCTATTATTTTTGTTTCATACATGGTTCTTTTCATAAATCAAGGTTAGTGTACAGTAGCAGTTAATAGTAGTCATAATTAGTATATAATCGCATTCTTCCGAATTTTTCGTGGTGCATTTATTTACTCATTCCAAAACTTACACCATTATCACTTATTTGTTTGTATTGTCTTCTCAGCCTCATAGTGCTGGCCTGTCCTGTGATTTTTCAAGCCCTTAAGCAAGTGGAGTGGCCCAGTGTACACTGCAGTGAGTGGGAAAATATTTCCCAGAGATTGTCTGTGGTTGTCTCCAATATGAGATGTCCTGTGTGACATAACACATTTTCTTGTTGAATAATGATTGCTTTTTTACATCAGGCACTTTTTTGTTTCAAAAATGAGCTATGTTGAATGTTTCCTCTTTGAGTAGGAAATTGATCTGTATGAAATCAGGAATTGGATGAAGCTGATGTATTTGTGTGAATTGTAATTGCTGTGATGTTTGGGACTGTTACAGGTATATTTGTGACAGCATCACAGAGTTCAAACAGTGCCTACAGTTACAACACAGTGATTGTAGTTCTGTTAACAGAAGTTGTCAAGTTGCTTATCTCTGTAGTTCTGTACTGTAAAGAGTAAGTATGCACAATTGTTCACATTTTGTCTAGAGTAACAAACAAATGTGTTTTGTATGAATGCTTTTGAAATTTGACAATTAGTAAATAACTCTTCTGCCACCTTTGTGCAATTTATGCAAACAGGTATGGTTTTCTGTTTCCCAAGAAAATATAACAAGAGTGGCTTTTAAATATAATTCAAAATGTAAGGAGAAGGGGGGGCTTCAGAAATATTTTACAAAACTTCATTACTAAACTAAGATTTAATATTTTTATTCTTTTGTGTATGATATTCATGTGTGTTTTGAATTTTGAAAAGTGAAATTGTTGTTTTGTTCTTACAGTCATTCTACATCATCTTTAATTAAAGAGATGCGTCTGAACGTTCGTAGTAAGTACATTTTTTGTTTTAAAAATTAATAATAAATTCAGCCTTCCAGAATTAATTAATAGTTGTGAGCATAGCATCACAAACTTTTCTTTATCCTGTTCCTGACATCAAGTTTATGAAGAAGTGCGTTATGGTACCATTAAAGCAATCATATGAAATTTACTGTAAACCTCAGTGCTACTGCTTTGTACAAAGTTTTACTGTCTTAATAATATTCTATTTCTTGTGTCTTTATGATTATTTAGACATAACTGTCTTGAATTGGTTGCCATGAAACTGTTTTCTTATGTTAATTTATTCAATTCCTGTCACTGTAATCACATTCAGAGCTTTATAGGCATGAAAGGGATTCTACACAATGTCTGACATATTTCAGTGCCTGAGATGAGGTTGAATCTTCAGTTTATTTTCATTAGACCTGATATAGGCAAGTCAGCAGTTGTTTCTTCATCAGCAGAATTATATATATAATTATGTATCTATTTTTTATCTGGACTACGTGTCATGTCAATAATATTTGTGGCATCTGTTTTATGAAATTACAAAAACTGGCTGCATGATCTGAGGCTCTCATAGCAATGCTACCAGCAATGTAAGGTGACTTAATGAAGAAAACACCAACATTTCTAGAACCATCTTCGTCCTTAGGGTATTGTAGTTGTAGGATATCCTGTCCATGGTCCTTGCATGGGTGGTAGCCTGAGAAGAATTTATTATACAAAAACAGGACTTGCAGACATGCTTCTAACAATTGAAGGGTCTTGTTATCAGTAAATTAACTGTGGAATGTCTTACTCTGAACAGGACATAATTTAAAATTAATTGTGTCTTTATAAGAAAGATATATTATGTATGCTTCTTTCCCACAACATTTAGTATTAGGTACGTACTGGACATGGGGAATGATTTTTCAATTTATAGTAATTTTCAGTGTAGATTAATGGTGTTAAATGATACTGTCATTCTTGTTGACAGTTATGGCGCTGTATTTTGTTCCTGCTTTCCTGTACTGCTTATACAATAACTTGGCTTTTGTAAACTTGTCTGCGTTTGACCCCACAACCTACTACTTGCTTCTGCAGTTCAGAGTGGTGGTAACAGGTGTTGTGTTTCAGGTGAGTTTTTTATTGGATGCTTTTTGTAAATATATGTGAACCATGCTGTAAATTAGCATTCAGTATTAAACCTAAGTGCTTTATTTAGTACTGTGGTACCCACCCCCATAAGTTTTTATTATTGTTGTGGTTTTATTTGATATTTAAACTGAATGTACTCATGTCTGTTTTGTGGAAACTGGTATTCATTTGTTAGTGCATCGTTGTACCCAGTCTGTGTGTCAGTGTAATAGTACTTTTGGGATTTGCACAGTTAGTTGAAAGCTTTTTATGCTGACAAATACAGCTGGCTTATTCTTTGTGTCCAAAGTCTGAGTATGACAAAACAACTTCGAATAACTTTTTAGTTGCTGATCTCTCTTTTCTTATACTGTCAGAAGAGAAAATTGGCCCCCCTCTAGTGATACAGGTTTTAATTATTTAGGTCTTCCAACGGAAAGGTTGATACTTCAAAATTAGGCGTTATGGAAGTGGCCTGTATAATGTAGTTCATTCTTTTGAATGGAAGCTAATCAGGTATTAGTTCCGATGCATGATAAGACTCCTTTGCCATCAATCTGTTGTGGTTTTGGGCTGAATTAAAATGTAGAGAGTTAGTTGGTTGGCTGTGGCTTCCAGGAAACGTTGTTGTGGGTATTGTCCATTTGATTTGGATTTTTGCTGGGTCATGGCAAGACACTGGCTTAAAATGTATGAGGAAATTTAATTCTTTACATTAGAAATTTAAAAAGAAACTTCATTGTAAAGCAAGTGATTCACAAGTTGTTGATGATGATGATAGGTAATGATTATGAGTCATCATGTGTGGATTTAAAATGGGTTCTTAGAAAGTTTTAAGCAGGCTGAAAGCTATTTTAGTATGGAAATGAAACAGCTTTGGAAATGATTTAAGTGAAGAGCTGTGTTTGAAACATCAGTTGTGAAAGGAGAGACTGTTAATAAAAGGATGTCATATTTACTTCTTCTAGGTAAGTTGTGTGATTTTACTGTTAAAAATGTCTAAGCCCCAGCTGAAAATGATGATGAAGTATGGGATAACTTTCATGATGAATTACAAGTTACAGATATTACATGAACATTTGTTAGGATATTTCAAAGTTAAATTTGTATATGAGATCATTCTCATATTTAAACATGCTGGTAATAATTAGATTTTTAGAGTATAGACACTGTATAATGTGAGGCAGATAGGGTACCCCACTGCATTTTTACCAGTCCATGAGTAAAAAAATGTTGAACACCACTGACATCCAAGAAAGTATTTATATTTTCAATATATTTGCATTGTATTTTTCACACAATATTTTCAGTCCTCTCCAAAACATAGTACAGAAACCATGCATGTATCAGGTGTATATGCTGTTACTCTTTTAATTTGTCATGTACCCCTATTATGCATTGCAGATTATTTTTAAGAAGAAACTGAGTTCCAAACAGTGGCTGTCATTAATTATTCTAACAGCAGGATGTATGATCAAACAGATTGACTTCACAGACACAGACTCTGCCAAGATTTCAGCCACATTAGCAACTCCAGGGTCAGAAAATGGCTTTCATCTCAGCATAAATTTGGTGTTTATATTTATACAGGTATGTTGCTTAATATCTTACTTGAAGTAATGTGGCGTGGGGTAGGACTTTGTCTCAGTAGTTTGTTTTTATCCTTCCAGTTTGATATGCAACTTATCACCATAATTATCAGGGGTTGGTTTAATAGGCCCATGCGAACCTCCAGTTCCAAGAAACTCAGTCATACTTATCATTTGTTATTTATTATTTTTATCAGAATCAGATAATCAGTATGAGATATTATTAACTTTCAGACATTTGATTTCAGTTTCAGTTTGCCCTCTTCTTTTGTACTGAGGAGTTTATGCTTTTTTGTCTATTTTGTAGGGCATTTTAACTTTTAAGCAGTGATATTTAAATACACTACTAGCAATAGCCATACAGAGATTTTCTGGTACAATATGAAAATATTCTCACCCTAGGTGGTTGGGTGTCATTAACCAGTTGCCAGCAAGATGTCTTTGGTACTTGGGGATTTACCGGTTGAGAGGATTAGGGTTAAGGCAGGAGATTGCCACTGCATAATAGGATGACACTAGATCTTGGTGAAGTTGATCTTACATATGGTGAATAACAATTCTGTAGTGAGCTTTGACTTACTGTTCTGCATTTCTGCAAAAACGTTTTAATGAGACTGCTGTTTAAAATATACTTTGAACTTGACTTGATCTTTTTTATTTTAATAAAAATTAGACTGATGTGGTAGTTCCCAGGAAGGGAATACTGTTGTATTTGGGTTCTACATTACATGTGGGGAATTAAATTTTACAATAATGAATCTTGAATTTTTGGAAATGATTGATGGTGAGTCCAACACAAGCAAGTGATCTAGTGTAACATCCCTAAGCAGACATGGAACAGGAGGGCACATGGTTAAAGTCAGTGAAGCAGCGAACCTTAGGTAATGTGTATACGCAGTGTGTCTGGTTCGCTGTTTGAGGAAACTCCTTTTAAATCTGTGGACATGCTGCTGTTCGCAGTCTGAGTGTGGACTGATTTCTGTGGCTTTGGGCAGGAAACTTGTTAATGTCCCTTGTGATTTCATAAATGTTTATGGATGTCTTGTTTTGTTTGCTTCTCAAGAAGGGCTCTTCTCCATTGAGTTAATTTAAAAGATTTTGAATTTTAAAAGTTTGTGGTGAACATAACTGTTCAATTATATGTGTCCTTCCTTTTAAATTACTAATACATGCACTGAATTGAAAGCAAAATCCATCACATATGAGTATGCATACAAACATTACATAACTTTTATACTCTGTTAAAAACCATAATTTTTTTGATTTGTATTAAATGAATTAACTGGTTTTTTCCACTGATGATGACCTCTTGAGGTCGAAATGCATTTGGCATTAGTGTCCTTCAAAGTGTAAACAGTTTTTGTTTGTATGCATGTTTTATATTCCATTTTATTGATTCTGATGCACTCATCTGATTTACAGACTGGAAAAAGTCTATGAAGTGGGATACATTACTTGGAATTCCTTTCTATTTGTCCTTTAAATTTAAGTATCACACTCTTGACAATTAGAACCTGGAGGCTGATCAGCACAAATATGAAACTGCCACCGCAATTCATCCATTTTCATGTACCATTCATTCTCACAATCTTCTTAATAGCTATCCTAATGATATCTTCCCATTTCTTCCTCAGTCTTCAGTCTGTCTACATTTTAACAGATTTCTTAACCAAAATTCTGTATAAATTTCTTGTCTTCCCCATCATAAACTCCTGGATTTTGCTGTCCTAACATCAGTAGGTTACTAGTATAAATCACAGTTCCTCATTGCATGATATCCTGAATTTCCCATTTATTTTATCCCTCTTAGGTAAAAATATTTTCCTCAGCACCTTGTGCCTGTTGTACTTGGTAGTTGTAATTGTTACATCTCTACTTTCGTTTGCAGACGTTATGTTCATGCTTCGCTGGAGTGTATAATGAGTACCTATTGAAAGGAGATGGTGCAGGGGTTAATATGTATGTCCAAAATATTTTCATGTATATGGACTCAATTTTATGCAATGCTGGAATACTGTTTTGTCAAGGCAATCTGAAAGATGCTTATACTCGAGACTCTCTAGCATCTATATTCCAGTTCAAAGTTATCATCATTATGTTCAACAACGCTGCTATTGGCATCATAACCAGCTTCTTCCTCAAGAACTTGAACTCCATTTTGAAAACATTTGCAAGTGCTCTTGAATTAATGTTCACTGCCCTCTTATGTTGGGTTCTGTTTGGAATTCCTATTTATATTAACACATTTTTAGCGATTTCTATCGTATCATATGCTGTACTCTTATATTCTCAGAATCCAGTGGTTAATGAGGGTAAACATATCCCAGAAATTGAAAAATACGTAAGTGAAAAAGGGACAGAAGAAGTTTAAGTGTAGGGAGTTATGTTTCTCTATTCTGTCGCAGTGTCACAAAGCTGAACCTGGTGCAGAAGTGCCTCAAACATTAGAGCCTAATATTGACTTGCATTTAAGCCCTAGTAAATTATTTATGACAGAATTATATTGTGAAGTATTATAGTTAACTGAAAATTATTCTTGCAAGAATAACCATTTCATTATATGTGATTTGAGGTTATCACAGTAGTGTTGATGGTGGTCTTCTGGGTTGTGACACCATGTAGACTTATAGGTGGATACCAACATTTCAGAGAAACATTTATTTCCATATACATGTGCACACAGTATCACAACCCAGAGTACCACCATTACAACCATTTAATTTTATGTGCACATCTTGCCTTAGACATGTACACAGAATGAGGGCTGTTGTAGGATAGTCTCTTCCTTGTGTCTCCATCTTCCTGTTTATTGTCTCTTATGTCTTACAGCATTCCTTTACTACTCATTGCTGACTTCACCTTCCATCATATTCTTGGTCTTCCTTTGCTTATTTCTCATCCTCATTGTCAGTGTTTCTGGAATTCCAGTTCCTCCATTGTCATTTGATAACCATATATTTTATATTTCACATATACTTCTTCCAAACCTTGAAAGTCTAGATTGCCTTATAAGCAATCATTTCCAATCCTGTCTCTCGGAGTTTTTCCTGCATTGTTAATTTAGAATTTAATTTTCATGACCTGTGTTCTTATTAAATCTCCCTTTGTTCATGTACCATACCATAAGTTGAAATAATAACTAATATACAACATAACTTCTTCTGGTGACAGTTCCTGTCATCTGCTTTGAGATAAAGAATTCCTAGTACTTCTTCCTATCTTTACATTCTTTACAACTTTCTTACTAAAGTTTCTTTGTCTCTCTGTTCTCTCATGTATTACTTCATGTAACTATTTCATCTTGACTTCAATCCATTAATTGCGTAACTGGTTGCTCAGCACAAAATTAAAAAATGGTGGATAGGTTCCTTACCCAGACCTCAGTTTCACATTTAACTCATAATTAAGCTGAAAAGCTGAAATATAGTTCATTTTTAGTGAATAATAGTACAAAGCAATGTAACTGTAATGTCGGTAATAAAACAGAGCATTAGAACAATCAAACGGAACAACGAGAATTTATTTTTATTACTTACTTTCATGCTGGTGCTGCCTTTATAGGAAGTGGTGTTTCTTGAGAAGAAACAAGTGTAATAGGGGACTGTTTTCTCAAGGTTTGCATTAGAATTTAATGTCTCATTTCACCATCCACTGTCTCACAACAGCCCATGAAGTGTAGATGTCATGCTCCTTGATGTATGGTTCTTACATGTGAATTGGCATTTCTGTGACAAAATTATTCAAATATTACTGTAGGTAATAGCCTCTTTCATGTCCATAGGTGTTTGTGAGTCAGATATTTCTATGCATGTATACACATCATTCGTCCCGCGCCTTAGCCGCGCGGTCTGAGGCATCATGCTTCGGACCGGCGATACGGAATGCGCTCTGGTTCGGGTCTCGGGGGAGAAGAAATTTTCTCATGAGCTTTTGACCAGTGTATGGGACCGGTGCCAACCCAGCATCATGAGGAAATTGGGGAGCTACAATGAGTAGCGTAATCTGGTCATGAAAGCTAGCAATGGCTGGGGGTTCGTCGTGCTGACCACACGTCACCCTATATCTGGTTGGATGATCGTTCACCTCTGCGTAGGCATGTGAACGTGAGGCCAGCAGTCAAGCTAGTCGGCTTTGGCTCTCTGGAGCTGTTACGCCACAGATTTAATTTAATTTTTAATACACATCATTCATTGAGTATCATCATTGCTTTATCTTTATCTGCTCAGGGCCGCTTTACTGAATTATGAATCTCCTTAAGATAGTCGTATTCCTTTAACAAAGCAAAAGCTGTTGTATGTACTTTACACATACAAATTTAGAGTCACTGAGTTCGTTTCTTGTCTTTTGTGGTATTCTGGATCTGTCTGGGGAAGTGTCTGTACAGTGGACACAAAATATCTCCAAGCTTCAGCTACATTACAATAACAGGGGAAGGTAAAAAAGAGGCCATGAGGGAGCAAGAGGGCAAGGAGTCTGTCTGAGCATGTATAGAAACTGAAAACATTTATTTCCTTTTAGTTTTCACGTTGTACACAATGGCATTTTTATGCACTGACTTTTATACTACCCTGTATTTTGTGAACCAAAGGAATAAAACACTTGCATCGCAGGAACCCGTCCAATAGTACATGGAAGTATTGGGTTATCTCTCTGTATGTGCTGTAACTTTGCAGTCCTCCCTTCCGATGCGGGTCTTTGTAACAGTCATTGAATTTCACAGTTAATTTCTGTCCACTGTCAATTCTGTGTTATGAGGAGTTCATGCAACAGTCATTTAACAATTTAACCATTTATACCAGGGGGTGGGAGGGGGGTTCTCAGGTTCTCAACCTGCAGGCCACAGGTAGCCTGCTGATGTTTCATGCAGGTCAAAAAGTTCCCAGAATTGTGGTATAGCACTGTAATGGTAGGACATATGGCAACGCTTACATAATCACCTTCAAAGTAGGACCCTTGCGCACACACACACTTGCTCCATCGATCCTGCCATTGTTGGAAGCACCGGCGGAAGGCTTCATTTGGAATCTTCCGGAGTTTGGCCGTCGCATTCGATTTGATGTCCTCCATGGTTGCGAAACGTGCCCCCTTGTGGCCCATTTTCAGAGTAGGGAACAGCCAGAAGTCACTCGGAGTGAGATCCGGAGAGTATGGTGGTTGGGTGATGACGGGAATGCTTTTCTCGGCGAGGAATTGCTGCACAACCAGCGATGTGTCGAATGCGACGGCCAGACTCCGGAAGATTCCAAACGAAGCCGTGCTTCCAACAATGGCAGGATCGATGGAGCAAGTGTGTGTGTGCGCAAGGGTCCTACTTTGAAGGTGATTATGTAAGCGTTGCCATATGTCCTACCATTACAGTGCTATACCATAATTCCGGGAACTTTTTGAATGCCCTACGTATGTCACTCTGTGTGGTATAAAGTAGTTAGCTGGTGTCAGAAAATGAACCTGTTAATGTCATGAGATTTGTCTGTGCTTGTCACCATGAACAAATGTTCAGCTTAACGAATGCCAATAACTCAGTGACTGTGACTTTTCTTACCAACGAACACTTAGAGATATGCAGGTGAATTGCTGATTTAGAAATAGCATTTAAGCAAGATAAGTGCCAAATTTGTCACTAATGACTGATTTTGTATGTGAATTAGTTTCTAATAGTAAATTAGCATTTTTAATAAGTTTGCTAAGAATTGTCAGTAATTTGTCCTCATTTATAACTTTGTGGCCTGTAAGTTGATATGCAGCAGTGAATGCGGCCCCAAGTCTGGATTGACTGAGAATCCTTGGTTTACACGATAGGATGTGTTTTTGAAAAATCAGAAAATGAAAAGCTGATATTCCGAAAGACAGTTCAAGTTATACAAGGTGCGATCGTAAGGTTTCCAGACTGCGCGTATAAAAACCTGTACACTTATCTCAGGTATTAAATTCATCCATCACCCTCGTAGTAGTTCCCCTGGGAGTGAACACAACGATCCCAGCGCCGTTGCCAAGCCTGGAAGCATCCCTGGAAATCTTTCTTTGTCAGCCTGTCAAGCACCATCTGCGATTCTGCCTGAATCTCTTCTATCGTCTCAAATCTCCTTCCCTTTAGCTGAATTGTCATCTTTGGGAAGAGGAAGAAGTCACACGGAGCTTAGAAAGGAAGCTGGGGTCGGTTGCTTAGAAAGGAAGTTTGGGTCGGTTCTTGCAAGATCTTTGAGCTCCTGACTAACGAGAAGTCGATTCTGCTTCTGGTCCTCAGACAGGAGCCTTGGTTTCGCATGTGGAGTTCTTCCTTTAGAATCAGCTGACAGGTCGCATAGCCTATCCCAACAATGTCGCACAAGTCGTTATGGTACGACGTCGATCTTCGTGAATGGCCTGCCGAATCTTGGTAACATTTTCGGGCGTTGTGCTCGGAGATGGTCGTCCAGAACGCTCGTCATCATCGACAGCGGTTCGGCCATTTTTAAAACGTGAATGCCACACAAAAGTTTGTGCACGACCCATTGCGGACTCCCCAAATGCTTGCTTTAGCATTTCATAGGTTTCCGTAGCCGTTTTGGCGAGTCTGGCAAAATTTGATGCGCACACCATTCCGAAATCGCAGTAGGGTCGGTGTAATGCACTACCAAAACGCCCGTAACTAAGAAACAAATGCTAATTCGATGACGCCGGCTGGCACACTGATTCACTATGAATGTAGGCCGCACCCCCTAGCGGCAGAAGCTCGTACTACATCCAGTTCGCCCCCCTATTGACACAGTCTTGAAACTTTCCGATCGCTCCTCGTATACAATAAAAGGTTCATGTAAAACATGTATGTAGTTTTATTTGGTATTATGTTAACATTTTAAGAGACCTTATCTCCATTACTGTTCATCATTGCCATGCCTTCATCCACCATATTGCCTGTTAATGACTGCCTAATAAACAAATACCTATCCTTCAGTCACTTTAAACCAAAAATTCATATTTTAAGAGCACGCAGATGTGATAATGACTGTACTTTTCAGTTTGAGAAGGGTGCTGAAATTCAGTTTCAAGCACTGTTTAATTTCTTCAATGGTATTGGTTATATTTTTAACATAATTGTATGATCAGAATAAGATATTCTAGACATTGTATGGAAGTAAAAAGTTATACAGAGTTGGTTCATAAAGTTTTTATAATGGATTTATTATCATCGGCTGCTGATGAAAATTCAAGATTACGCAATCCTGCCCTCAAAGTATTGTCTTCGGGGATTTACAGACTTCTTCCATCAGCTGTACAGTACATAATTCTCTGAAATGCTCTTCAGAGTAAGTATGTCCTTTCAACCAAGACTTTACAACCCTAATCGCTGAAAGTCTCCTGGTGAGAGATCTCACACTGTTACCTCCCGTGCCAACATTTTGACTACCGACAAGGGACTGACGGAAGATTTCAACACATTGCACTTCCAATACCATGTAGTGGACAAGTGTGAAGTGTGTGGCACATCCGCCACACCATCTGTTTCACAATGATGCTGCTTCTTAAAACCATCGTCATTTACCGTGACTGCCATAATAAATCCATTGTCAGAACATTCAGAACCAATCTAATGCAGAAGTACCATATAAATCTAAATAAATATGGTATAAATAATTACCTTTTGGTGTAATGTTTGCTGAACTTTATTATAAATGCCATATTGCGCATATAATATAAAAAACTGCTTGTCTCTGAAGAATTGTTATGAAACTGGTATTCAGCATTTCATTAATATAATAGCCCAGTATTCTAAAGTTCAAAATGAGACGCACGAGAATGCAAAACTATGTTTTGGGCATTCCAACTGAAAAAAAAAATGGTTCAAGATGTGTGACAATTTTCTCTGCACTGAACAGCAAACAAAAGTTAAGTTCTTCCTAAGACTTATTTCAAAGTGTGTTCCTGTACGATTAATTAAGTCTGTCCAGTAATTACATTTATTTTATTGTAATTTAATGCATTACATCTGGAATGAGGCTTTTCATTTTTAAAGTATTATTTAGATAATTTATATATTTAAAAGTGTATGTTAATATGTAATGAGACACATGTTACTCACTTTTGTAGTGAATTTTGTTTGTGCAAAATATGCATGATAAAGATACCAAAGTATTGAAATGTTATCCACTTTCTTTTTTACATTATCTGTGTATAATTTTAAGGCCTTTACCAAGCAGTACGTGTTTATTTGGTTGAGACTACTACTACTTTTAGATATTTTTTTCATACAGCTTACACATTTCTTCATAGTTTATTTAGAACGTAGCCTGAATAAAAGAAACTACTACAATTGGGAACAAGCCCCCCAGAAATAGTCATCACTCACCATACTGGGAACAACCCGTTCTTCAAGTGCCTGAGCACTGCGGGTCCCAACTTTTTGTTGGCACGATCTATAGACATTCGGTAGGACTCCTTGGACGAGGGATCGGCCCGTCACAAGGCCTCTACCTGTACACAGAACAGCACAACACAACACAGAACATCGCGGACAGACATCCATGGCTCGAGTGGGATTCAAACCCACGGTCCCAGCAACCACGCGGCCACTGCGAACCCTATCACTCACCATAGACAAATTAATGGAGGCTGATGGTAGTTTTAAAATATGTAATACACTGTGATTATGGGTGGGTAGTTTTTATTAACTGGAATGTTGATTATAAAATAGAATAAGTAACGTGCTATAAAGTGATAGAAATGCACGGAGTGTCTTATTCATGGTCAACATAACTTTCGTTCTTATCTGTATCATTTCCATTGATGGATACTCTGGTATAGGGGGAGTAACTATGTAATTTATGTAGTCCAAGGATTCATCACAATTCAAAAAGTGACTGGACCTGCGCTAATTAACTCTGTGGAGCAGATTCTTTGAGAAGTAGATAGTAGTTGATTAAGAAATTTGCCATTTTTTTATTGGATATAAATTGTTATGTTCAAAATACTTTTCCATTGGATCATGTCCTGAGCCACTTGAATCCAGTCCACACCTCAGATCTTATTTATGATTAATTTTAATATTGTACTCCCAGAAGTTTTTCTGGCTGTGAACTTACATTAAGCACATTCAAATCCTCTTTCCTGAAGATTAATTTGTTCCATCCTTAGTCTTATGACTTGAGTTCTGTCAAGTGCCACGTCATAGGTGCAATCACAACCGAGTACCACGATTGTGATAAGCAGTTTGCTCGTTAGAGCTAAAATACAACTTGAGAATAACAGGAAGTCATACATGAGTAAGGAACATTTGAGTTTTGGAGATTTTGGAAAGACAGAAAGATAAAAGATTCTGACCTTAACATTAGTTTCCATTCCATGAGTTTTTTCCAATCTTAGTTATGGTCTTTACTATAATGTACGTGTTCCGTAGTATCACTCCATCATTTCTTTCATATGCTATCCTAACCTAACCTGGATTTACTTCAGTCACTTCATTTTTCTTCTGCCTTTCACTGCTCTCTTTGGTATGAATATAATGTTTTTCTGTTGTTGATGTATTTTTATATTCCATATTGATTTGGTAGATTTCTTGACACCTGGTTTCCCTAATGCTGACAGCTAAGGATAAGCTGGTCGTTACTTACCTCTCCCAACATTATATTGTCATTTCCAATAAGAATGTATAACTCATGCTGTAGCATATTGTAAATAATCGTCAACTTTATAATCAAATAATTCAAAATCTAGTTTATATTTTTCATACAATCTCTTTACTTCTTGTTTTGATAACTGTGAGAAGTATCTCCTTGATGTTTCTTTGCCATCCTCACTGTAAGTTTTGTGCTTCCATCGGGGTCGAATCAGGCCCTGAAGTCCAGCAGCCCGAATCACGTACACCTGATCTTGTAGCATCGTCTCCACTTTGGCGGCCCTGAAGTCCAGCAGCCCGAATCACATACACCTGATCTCGTAGCATCGTCTCCACTTTGGAAATTATGTCATAGTTAAGCAGACAAGGTGTACAAAATAAGTAAAAGGGAATCCAGTGGTCATCTGAGTACAGAATGACATCGACGTCAATCAGGTACCTGGAAACAAGGCAAGAGGTGTGACTACATTGCTTTTATTGCCAAGTAATCTATGCTAGACTTCTCAGAGCATCGAATGCTGAGAATTTAGTTTTGCTTAGCCATAAGTTAAAAAAGTGGGAGAAATACAGGTGAACGATTAATAAATTCAGTCTCAAAGTGCATCACAGAACACTGTCCTGAGTCAGTTCTGACAGGGTCAGGGTTTTTTTTTTTGCCACAATATTCAGACCAGTTGAGGGATCCACCCAGCCTATCCAGTAGGTACTAAAGCCTCATTACCCAGGGGTAAAGCAACTGGAGCATGAAACTGACTACTGAGCATATATTGTCAAGGTTTAGGAGTGCATGAAGTTATTCCACCACTCCCCATTACTGAATAATGAATTGGAAAGGATGTGGAACAAAGTGGTCGTGGCCAAATTTAAAGTGCTAACTTGGCATTTGCATGGAGGGACTTAAACCACGAAAACCTTATGATTGCTGTTCTTTGAGCCAAGGTTTAAAGCCACGCCTTTCCGAATACGAAGCAGCGATAATCAGTCGTTATTATGATTGCTGTTCTTTGAGCCAAGGTTCCGAACACGAAGCAGCGATAATCAGTCGTTACGACATGCAATCTAGAATTTGCTTTACCTAACGAACTCCTTGAACGTTGGTTCGAATCCCGCGGGTTCAGGCAGCTGGGGGTCCCACAAGTACTGCCCGGGTTTCAGAAGCGACTGCGTGCGGGTGCCATTGCCCCCTTGCCGAAACTTCGCAACGATGCGGCTTCCGTACTTGAGGTAGAAATGTGCTGTCCCCTGCTCGGAGCCTATCCGCGTATTCTCTAGTTTGTCTCGGTATGCAGACAACAGCCGTTCGAACGGGTGTCGGACCACCATCAGCTTCAGGGTGCTATGGAACGCCTGCAAGTACAAGAGCATGTCTAAAGCCAGAGATTACAGCATCCGTGTTTTCTGTGTATAAAATCTCCAATCATTTATGTAACTGTAATGACTGCGATCTGAACTGCCTGGTTTGTGTTTCTGGTACAGCAGTTGTATTTGTCTTTTTATCTCCGCGTCCAAAACGATCCCAGGGAGTACCAGTGGCTCTTAAAATATGCAAAGAGTTTGCCCACGAAGATGGTCACTGAATCCATTTAATGCCGGGATTAAAAATGCGTGGAGTTTTAGAAGTGGTCTGTGTGTGCTTCTTTTGTAACACGACAGATGTCCAAACGGTAGTCTGTTTCTGTCCAAATCCTTAGTATGTAAATTTTTAAAACTTTAAATAGAAACTGTATGACAAGCAGTGACGAATGCTTCGTTATGGCTAGCTATTATGTTATTTCTGCGTCCAGAAACTGTATTTTCAGTATGGAATGCTGACATGTGAAACCAGTAGTACGCATGCGCCTTCCAGTACCTCTTCAGCTTCAGTGTGGTCGAGCTCCGGGAATGCTTCCCTCGCCAGTTGGTTGATCTGCTTATGGTTCTCTGCGATGTATTCTTCCGAATAGCCAGCCAATAAGCATAAGTTGTACAACCACGTAGAGGAGGCGGCTTTGTAGATCGGACACCATGTTAATTTGTGCTCTCTGAAAAGAGTTACGAGTAGTTATATACTTGGTGCACCGTAAATTGTAGGCGAGTTTCAGTTCGTCAAACAGAGCTCTGAATTCAGATGAAATGAAGCTTCTGTAATGAGAAAGTTTTACAGGCACAAATTGTGTATCTTCTTGGATGTTGCGATGAGTCATTGCCCTTATGGTGGAGGTAGTAGGCACACCTGAAACGTCTGTAAGTTTCTTCGAGACTACACGGCGCAACGTCCTAGAAGACAGATACAAATCCTTGCGCCTATCGAGAAACAGAACCCGGTCTTCCAACCCGTGGCTTGCACCCGCTTACCTGTCTATGTAGAACACGCTGTACTGAGGGGTGGGAGGGTGTTTGAACTTGGGTGGCCCGGCCGAATGCTTGTACAGCCCCAGGTTGTAGCGGTGACACACCTGTTGAATCCTCTGCAGCCGTTCGCTGTTCTCTGCCTCGGCCTCTCTCTGCAGAACACAGCGACATCCAAATGTTTTCAGTTTGCTCTTCCGGTATGTATCTTGGGTTTCCGTTGTAAGAAACTAATGCTTTATTTATTTAAACCGAGTTACTTCTGACTGACTGCCTGACTGACAGTTATCATTTGTCTGTGACTGACTGACATAATTAATTCACTAAGAAGCTGACTGATCATCTGACAGAAATAACTACCACTCTCTTTCATTGACAAAACACAGAACCTCAATCACATAGCTCGGTCATTAAACAGTCAACTTTGTGACTAATTCAAAGAGTAACCAGTTAAGTAATTGACTCGGTTGACTTATTGAAGCACTGACATAAATTTTTAACTAACCCAAAAGAACCTAGCTCACTGACAGTCTTACTGAAAAGTTAATTCGTGGACTCTTAACTTACTCACGTACTAATTCATTAACAAAATTAACTGGTTCAGTGACTGGCTCGCCCATAATCCTTGTTAAAATTCCAACGCCCTCTTCAGTCTTTATTTCCTTATTTTGTTTTATTATTTTGTTATGCACATGTCACCAGTGCTAGGGTAAAGATGTCCTTCCTGTTTCCATCATCAGGGCGATGAATCGCCTTTATGATGGAAACAGCAAGGACCTCTGAAGTGGTGGAAATCTACCAGACTGCACGGCGTAAGAACACCGAAGGCCGCCATCTTCAGACTCACCGCCGTGAAAACATCAAATCCTACTTCAATGATTGTGTTTTGTGTCTGTTTATTTATGCAGTTTATCAGCAAATAGTCTGACCCTGGCTGCAGTCTATTGTCTGTACGGTGCATACATTTCTACAGAACACATTTGATATTTTCGTCTTAGAAAATCAATTCAGAGTTTATAAAGGCCCATGGTAAAATAACAGTGGCCATAAAAGAACCTTGACATTGCTGGATGGCCTTTCTGATGTCTTCTCTTCAACAGAGGAAGTTGCCAGTTAGCATGAATGATGTTAGTAAAGTCGTAACATCAACCACTTTTTGGCTGCCCCTGCGGTATAGTGTTTAGGCAGTAGCGTAGTATTGAAAAGGTCCCGGATTTCATCCTAGTTGTTTCCATTAAAAGTACGACAATCAATAACCTGAATGCGGGAGAACAGCAAAGTGCTGAAACGTACATGAAGTATATTTTAGACAATGGTCAATGTCCAGCATAATATATGAATAATGAACAAACGTTGTCTCAGACCGAAACGAAAATCGTGATTGTATTATTTGAGGTTTTAACAATCACGATTCTGAAGATTTCTGTCTTCTGGGTTGTTGCGCTGTGTAGTCTGGTCGATATTAACCAACGTTTCAGAGGTCATACAGCCTCCGTCATCAGGGCGATTCTTAGTATGAAGATATCTGTCTTCTGGGTTGTTGCGCTGTGTAGTCTGGTCGATATTAACCAACGTTTCAGAGGTCATACAGCCTCCGTCATCAGGGCGATTCTTAGTATGAAGATATCTGTCTTCTGGGTTGTTGCGCTGTGTAGTCTGGTCGATATTAACCAACGTTTCAGAGGTCATACAGCCTCCGTCATCAGGGCGATTCTTAGTATGAAGATATCTGTCTTCTGGGTTGTTGCGCTGTGTAGTCTGGTCGATATTAACCAACGTTTCAGAGGTCATACAGCCTCCGTCATCAGGGCGATTCTTAGTATGAAGATATCTGTCTTCTGGGTTGTTGCGCTGTGTAGTCTGGTCGATATTAACCAACGTTTCAGAGGTCATACAGCCTCCGTCATCAGGGCGATTCTTAGTATGAAGATATCTGTCTTCTGGGTTGTTGCGCTGTGTAGTCTGGTCGATATTAACCAACGTTTCAGAGGTCATACAGCCTCCGTCATCAGGGCGATTCTTAGTATGAAGATATCTGTCTTCTGGGTTGTTGCGCTGTGTAGTCTGGTCGATATTAACCAACGTTTCAGAGGTCATACAGCCTCCGTCATCAGGGCGATTCTTAGTATGAAGATATCTGTCTTCTGGGTTGTTGCGCTGTGTAGTCTGGTCGATATTAACCAACGTTTCAGAGGTCATACAGCCTCCGTCATCAGGGCGATTCTTAGTATGAAGATATCTGTCTTCTGGGTTGTTGCGCTGTGTAGTCTGGTCGATATTAACCAACGTTTCAGAGGTCATACAGCCTCCGTCATCAGGGCGATTCTTAGTATGAAGATATCTGTCTTCTGGGTTGTTGCGCTGTGTAGTCTGGTCGATATTAACCAACGTTTCAGAGGTCATACAGCCTCCGTCATCAGGGCGATTCTTAGTATGAAGATATCTGTCTTCTGGGTTGTTGCGCTGTGTAGTCTGGTCGATATTAACCAACGTTTCAGAGGTCATACAGCCTCCGTCATCAGGGCGATTCTTAGTATGAAGATATCTGTCTTCTGGGTTGTTGCGCTGTGTAGTCTGGTCGATATTAACCAACGTTTCAGAGGTCATACAGCCTCCGTCATCAGGGCGATTCTTAGTATGAAGATATCTGTCTTCTGGGTTGTTGCGCTGTGTAGTCTGGTCGATATTAACCAACGTTTCAGAGGTCATACAGCCTCCGTCATCAGGGCGATTCTTAGTATGAAGATATCTGTCTTCTGGGTTGTTGCGCTGTGTAGTCTGGTCGATATTAACCAACGTTTCAGAGGTCATACAGCCTCCGTCATCAGGGCGATTCTTAGTATGAAGATATCTGTCTTCTGGGTTGTTGCGCTGTGTAGTCTGGTCGATATTAACCAACGTTTCAGAGGTCATACAGCCTCCGTCATCAGGGCGATTCTTAGTATGAAGATATCTGTCTTCTGGGTTGTTGCGCTGTGTAGTCTGGTCGATATTAACCAACGTTTCAGAGGTCATACAGCCTCCGTCATCAGGGCGATTCTTAGTATGAAGATATCTGTCTTCTGGGTTGTTGCGCTGTGTAGTCTGGTCGATATTAACCAACGTTTCAGAGGTCATACAGCCTCCGTCATCAGGGCGATTCTTAGTATGAAGATATCTGTCTTCTGGGTTGTTGCGCTGTGTAGTCTGGTCGATATTAACCAACGTTTCAGAGGTCATACAGCCTCCGTCATCAGGGCGATTCTTAGTATGAAGATATCTGTCTTCTGGGTTGTTGCGCTGTGTAGTCTGGTCGATATTAACCAACGTTTCAGAGGTCATACAGCCTCCGTCATCAGGGCGATTCTTAGTATGAAGATATCTGTCTTCTGGGTTGTTGCGCTGTGTAGTCTGGTCGATATTAACCAACGTTTCAGAGGTCATACAGCCTCCGTCATCAGGGCGATTCTTAGTATGAAGATATCTGTCTTCTGGGTTGTTGCGCTGTGTAGTCTGGTCGATATTAACCAACGTTTCAGAGGTCATACAGCCTCCGTCATCAGGGCGATTCTTAGTATGAAGATATCTGTCTTCTGGGTTGTTGCGCTGTGTAGTCTGGTAGATGTTAACCAACGTTTCAGAGGTCTTCAGAATCGTGATTGTTGAAATTCTGCTCCGAACGGATCGATAACTGAAATGCCTGCAGACGTTCTTTTGGAACCTGCTTCGAATGTTCTTCAGTGTGACGTGCTGCATGCCACATGAATTATATTAACCGCAGTGTTTGAAGTCTGTAAACCTGTTCTCCGCAGAGGTGTCAAGGGTCGGGAAAATACAAAGAGTCCACTGACCGCACGGCACATTTTATTGTTTTCATTTTAAGAATTTTTGGGTTATTTAATCGTGGTGTATTAAATACAGAGATTATTCAACATAAAAACCCTGAAGAAGGAAGGACTGGTATAGAAACGAGCAAGGCTTATTTCGGCACTGCCTTTTCTTTTGTTTGGAAAGACAGCGACCTCTCCTTTTGGAACAACGTCACTTCTTTGATTATCATTTTATAATTTCTCTGGCATTAATCGCGTATCGTAATTTTAGGCCTGATCAACTGTTTCGCATTAGGCCTCCTGGCCTATTCGAATTCAGAATTGATTTTCGAACTGTAAACCCTTTAAGCCTATACATTTGGTACGACCCTTGCATGAGGGATTCTCCCATCACATGGCCACTACCCACACGAACACAGAGAAAGGTGGACACACACACGTCATTGACCTGAGCAACATTCGAACATGCGTGTTTTAAGTTATCGAAAAACGTGAGGTACTTAGCCCGCCCGACCACTTTTAACTGGCAACTATCGCTGATTAATCGTGTAATCCTCTTTACTTAAAGTTTGCTGAAATATGTACAAGACGAACTGTGAGTTCGTAATAAGAGTTAGTGAGAGCTGAGTATAAAATCCTGTATGCAAGTATTGCGCTGAAGATACTGATGATAATGGCAGTATTCAGTATATACAGCCATGTAAGTGAGCAATGGAGCCGAGTTTTCAAAATGTCTGGCTGTGTTCAGGTTTTCTTTACATATTCCCCCAAAGGCAAGTTTAAGGGATTCAAAACGCAGCCGACGACAAATCGTGGGTACCAGAAACACTCGGAGCTGAACAGAGTGGAACTCCAGTGTGTTCACTCGCCTCAGCGGTTTTTGAGTCCTATGAATATTCTTAGAACGAAATTATAAACGTTCAGCAAAACTTTGTGTTAGACCCAAATGAATATCTACGTATATTAATTGTAGAAATAATTGTGGGAAAATTGTAAAAAGTTTAAGTGAATGTATAGGGAAGTTTAGGTGACGCTCAGCACACCCTGAAATCGTTTAGTGGATACCCTAGCCCTAGGTCATCCACGTAAGAATTTGAGTTAATTTTCCTGATGTCCTGATTGTGTTGATTCTCGTCCTCAATTTAGATGATCATCCAAGTACTTACAATATAAGTACTGAAGTCGGATTTACTATCGACAGAATCTTTCAGCTCTTCGCGCTCTTTATCCTGCCTGTCGACATTCCCACGGGAGTCACGATCATTGGAGCTGAGGTAGAAGATTAGAAGCACCAGTGTTCCAATTCCAATGATGTACGAACTATGGACTCGGCCTAGACGTATTCGCATTTTGGGCATCTGAAAGAAAATGGAATTAACTCAAAATCTCGAATGTCAGGCCACTGTTGTGAAGAGATTAATTCTTCAGTACGTGCGCACTCTGTGTTTGTGATTTTCTCGAAATCATTGATTTCTGCGTAAATACTGCATAAGTAAGCCACGGTGGCCTTGTAATCCTGGGGTCTCGGGTTCGATTCCCGGCGGTGCCCGAATTTATAACTTGTGTTGGGCAAGGCCGTGGTCTAGGCAACACGGAGTTTTCCTCCGGGGGCTTCCCCGGTTTATCCGTGGCATCCCAACAATTACTCCATTCACACACAGAAGAAGGCAATGGCAAACCACTTCTGGATCATGTGCCAAGAACGTATATGAACAGGTCCCAGTCCGAGAAAAGGATGGAAGGATCCTGTTCATACGGACCTGTCGTCAGACAGAAGACGAAATAAAAAACAAACAAACAAACAACTTCATAAGTCATAGGCGTACAATGCATCTGGGTCTGAGGCTAATAGTTAGATACTTGTGGATATGTTTAGGCTCAAACGGATTAAAGTTATTGATATTCATTCACGGCATTGTTCGTACAGTCTCATACAAATGAAAACCTACCCATGGGCTCAAAGTTATACCATTCATAAGAGTACACTCAGACCCGATCTGAAGCAGAACTTTAAAATAAAGCAAGTTAAGTACAGATCAATCTGACTAATGGCGTTGCTGCTGTCGCACGGAAATGGCAAAACTGAGGAGTGGCTGTGGATTTATTTTCGAAGTGTGTTTGGTATTTGTTTATTTTTCGCTTGTCATACTTTGACTATCTCTGCATTAGAATCACTCATGGATTTGCTTTGAAGCATAAGGGTCAGTATCCCGTGAACACGACAGTTTTAATATTTCTGGTAGTGATTGGGGGAGGGGGTGAATGCATAGAGGAAAGTCCCGCCCCTTAATCAATTTTGGAGTGATTTAACTGTCCAAACACCGGGTTTTTGTTGTCAATAGCTGTAAATAACTGTCTCTATTGTTTTACTATATGATATATATTCTTATAACTGTAATCTGAGTAGTTTACGTGTTCCTGTACTGTGTCGGAAGGGTCAGTGACCCGGTCAATCAATATTCATAGTGGGAGACATTTCTGTCATCTGGTAGGTGACTTATGCTTTTATTCCTATTGCAGATTGGACTCAAGGAACAGGCACAGTGAAGTGGTCAGTTCGCAAGTTCGAATGAACGTACCTTGAAGCCATCATGACGACTGGTATAGTGCAGGTCACCATGATTACCATATCAACAATACCGGTGAGTCTCATATGGAAACGTGTGAACTAGATTTTGATGTGTATGAAAATTGTCACAGAAAATTTTGGAGATATCGCAGAAAGCGGAAATAATAATTGATTCATAGTCATTTCATAAATGTAGTCAATCAGTAGAAGCTTTTGTGTCGGAACAAAACATTTATTCTCAAAGGAGTGTTGTCTTCTAAATTATGACGCCGTGTATCCTTACAGGTGGTTGCCGACGTTTAGGGGTAACATATTGCATCCATCTTGAGGCGAAACGTTTTACCAACACGCTGTTACCACCTACGGCGTCATAACCCGGAAGACCACAATCCAGCTTCATTACTGTGAAAAGCTCAAATCTCTGCTGTTCTTAGAATCATAGAACGTATAAGCCTACGTAGATATTTGGTGTCTCTAGGGAACACGAGTGTGATGCCATGATCTTATTAGTATTGTTGACTTCCACAAATTAAAATGTGTGCATGTGAATTAATAGACAGATATTAGAAACAGCACATAATTTCCGTCGATATTTTAACCTCTGGTCCTTAAAAGTTTCAAATAATGTGCCAGTTAAATACATACTTGATATTAATCCGCGTCATGAAGTGTCGATGTTGAAACTTGTTAAAATTCTGAGATGAGTTTCAACACGTTTCCCTGTTCGTCCACAGATCGTCGTCCGAAATGGGAGATGGTACTTTTCTTCAAAAAATGCAACACAACATTTCTCATGTAGCAAACAGCACTCATACATTGTTTCCACATGTGTGAACACAACACGTCGCCTACTCAGTACTAAATCAAACAAGAGACGACGACGACGGAATTGCGGATTTGAAGTATAGCTTCACCGTTGTCCTCTTGAAATCACTTTGGTCTCTAGTCAGTTTCAAACAACACAGGATTTTGATTCGTGGCAACTTGACTGTAAGACTGTCCTTTTAAAACCATCCTCGCTTACGGCCTCACAACGTATGCGTGTTGAGTAGGTTTCGCTGTTCCGTTTCTTGGGCTACGTTATCTCCCGTTGTACTGTTCATTCGTCTCTCTATTCCACTTCTCTGCTCTCTGTCACACATGTTCTTGTTCGACCTTGAGTGTGAACGAAGGTAACTGACTTTGTTTGAACTACTATAGAATAGGTGCAAATTAGCAGACAAGTTAACTTTGCGGTGGACTGTATCACAAGCAAGTACTTTGTTGATTACGTAACATTGCGTCTTGGTTTTTCACTTTTATGTTGTTATTCTGTTTCAAAATGCAATTGACGAAATTTGCAATGTAAAATTAAGAGCAGATTACATTCCGGAGCCTTTTAATATATCTGTTATTAGCATTTTACAATATGTTGTCTTACTTTTTCTCGTCAATCCCGTACGTATTTGGTTGGAACCGAAGTATTGTGGGGCTTCAGCGTGGACTCCGACGTAATATCAACTACAGTGGACGCAAGATAACTTCGATCCTGGATGAGCGTACACACGTGGAGGAATGGGAACAGAGCGAAACGATAGCAAACACGGAGAGATAAGCCAGCCCTTCCTTTAAAATTACGGAATGTGTGGAAGTAACGTGTGCCTGTTAGTGTTTTATATCTTCGTTACAGTAGTTTGAAAGTCGGTGTGTCAAAATGCCATCGAGTGTGTGCAAACTGAAAATAAAAATTGTTTTCAGTTTTCTTGCCCCCCCTTGACCCCTTCATCTTCGCTTCCCCTCTTAATGTGACAGCCCAAGATCGGAGTTATTTTGCGTCCACTGTACTGATGAGACATGATAAAATCATCAGATACCGGACAAATAAACGGGGAACAGTCAGACAGTTTTTCGGAAATGTATAGACTTAGAGGAAACCTGTGAATCAGGGGTAAAATGTTATTCAACATTATCATTAAATTTTATACGCCCATGAAAGAAGTGTGTTTAGATTAAACCTGTAAAGTGATTTAGAGCTGTTTGAAAGGAGATGCTTTATCATCAGTTGTTTCATCTTCGCTTTAGAATAAGCCTAGACCGTTGTAAAGGATTAAGAAAATCAAGAAGGACTGGGTTTTAATGGAACATATTAGCTGATTATCAATTATTTGGGTCTTTCTTTGACCATTTATGTATTTTGACGTTTTTAGGCTGGATCTTATACTGTGGACTTTTGAATTTTCATCATTTTCATTAATTAAATTTGTTAATCAGTGTATGGTGGTTAGCACGCGGGAGCTTCCTAATTCGAATTTCGGCTCACAAAGAACCGTTAAATGTAGAATTAAGACTTCAAAAATGTTAATCTTCGTATCGGAATACAGAAAAATTAGACCAAAATCGGGTTACGAAACCATGAACGGTTTAAGACCGCGAGGCTGTTGGAATTGGCAGTCGGGAAATGTATCAGAGAACCTTAATCAGTTTGTTTTCAGTGCGAACATTGCAGCTGAAATTTAAATTGCAAACGAGACGAAGGTGTTCATCCAAGGACTTCTTTGCGAGTGAGCTGCGTAGTCAGTGTGTGACGTCATTAAGTCTGGGCGTGCTGAAAGTCGTGTGACGTAATTTCCAACTCTAGCGACAGACTGGTCGTGATTTAAAACGCTGTCAACAGTAATATTTAAATTTAAATTTATTTTAACAGGTCTTTAACGAATTTCTTGCTGTATTAATGTCCACCATGGTGGAAGGTTATGATCTGGTTACCTCAACAGAAATGCAGGCCACTTTTTTGTTCAGGACGTGCCACGTTCGTTAGCCATCATTCGGTGTTCTGCCTCCGTGGTTTTCCTATAATAATGCCGTTACATTGGAAATATAGTAGTAGGAGATTTTGAAAACAAACGAACAACATTATAGGCTAACTTGATGTATTAAGGGTGTAGACCTAGGGTATTTGAAGGCATCTATTAACGTTGCTTCGAACTTCGTCTTTATGTGGTGATAACATTTTTGTAAACGAATCTGTTGATATGGATTCATTGTGATGTAATCATTAGCTGTCATGTAGAGGAAATGCTACTATAAAACTATGTGGTTGCATTACTTTCATATTTATAGTGACAGTCCTGAGTTTTGAATTGCCCTGTTTGTTGCATTGAAGGTCAGGCATCACCGATGAAGTTAAACCGACCTCATATCTACCAAGCTACGTTTCTAAGAAGAAATAGCGTTTTAAAGTAAAATTAAACAAAATTGATAAGAAGATAAGATAACGTATAGCAAAATATCAAGGCGTGCAAACATTTCAGCAGATAGGTTACAGGGATTTCTAGTCTGAGCGAAGAATCTTTTCACGGTCAGTCAGTTTCGTGTCTTGACCATAGCACGCACAATGTTTGCTCCATTAGTCCATATTTAGACCGCAGTATCCCCGATAGTGTCTGCTAATGGATGCTTCATTTGCAGCAGAAACAACTGCTACGTTCTCTTCGTGGCCCCAAAGCCTAATTTTAATCTTATCTTTCTCTGATTATTGTAGAGACTTCCTAAAGCTTTGTAAGAGTCTACGTAGATGAGCTTTTTGGCTGCTGTAAAGGCAGAGAATTTATTTACTAGCTGAACGACTATTAGCGTCTTACGTAGGGCTTTATTTCATGAAGGTGGTAGGGACACTTGAATAACTAATAAGAATGATAAACAAACACATTGACAGACATTGTGATACCATAAGGCAGGTTTTGTTTAGAAACGAAACTAGGCAAGGCATAATATTAAAAAATACTACAGTGGTTAAGGAGTTCTACGACTTTTATGGAACATGAGAACTTCGTCATTTGACTTGAATGTAAGATTCGAGGTTCTGACTTCGGCGGTTATGAAGATGGCTGTCTTTTGGGTTGTATCCTGGTACACGTTTTCGGACGTTTCAGAGAAGCTTCCTGCCTCCATCATCAGGGCGATGATAGCGACGCAGCAACATAGAAGACAGCCATCTTGAGGCATGCATGTGTGTCTGCATGTATACGTACCACGCACGTGTACATGCAGACACGTGTTTGTACTTGTGGATCTGTACAAAAATTGAACGGAGAAGGACAGACAAAATGTTAAAATTAAATCTGGCTGAATATCCTTGCCTGAAATGTTATTCTATTCCCCGGGATATTGCGGCAACTTCTTCTACAGCACAGAGCTGCGTGTAGCCTAAACAGGATCCTGCAGGCGAACTCACCAGTCAGGGTGGCGACGAAACTTGGTGGAAGCTACTGAAACTTCTGACCAAAAACAGAATTTTTTCAGAAGTCTCCGTTTTTCTTTGGGTCTATAACCGGGTTAATATCCACAGCTTCATAATCAATTCATTTACAATAGCAGTATGAACGAAACAGGAGTAATAGTTTTAGTCAGTGATTAATGTCTTTGGATTCTTTTGTTATTGAGCGGTACTTATACTTGAAAACGCCTTTATTTTGGACTGCATCAGGCGTTTTTTAAAACACTTCATCTTATGCCTTATCCTATACCTTCGCTTCTGAATGTGACTATACTCCATTACAATGGTTTTACAAAGGCTGTATACAGTCGAACCAGCGACTGGCTCTTAGTCCGTTAATGCACAGAATTCATTGCGATAGCTCCATATTTCTGCACAAAAAACTGTAATACGCCTGCATTACAAGAGATTCGAATGGCAGCCATCTGGGCAACCCGTAATCTTCCTCTAAAAAGATAATAGTGTCGATCTATAGTTCAAGAATTGAGTTAGTTACTTCGTACCTAGCTCGGTCTTTTGTTACTGGGCTATTTCACAATTTTGTAGTTATCTTCTAAAGTGTATGAGAAATAGGTTCATTGTGTTGCCATTGTCAGTGTTTCATTAGAGTTTCTGTCGTGTGAATAATGGTAATGACATCCGTCAACGACCTATCGAGTTTGTACAGTCTGTGCCGCGTAAATGTTCGGACGTGTTACAAAACTACTTTAATGGGGTTTAGTGTTGTGCTTCACTACAGGGAAGTGATAGTCACTCAGCCTATGGTTTCCATTGTTGAACACATTGCTGGAGAGAGGGGTAATTTTTGGGACACACACAATAGTGACGTGGACACCATGAGCGCAAGAATGAACTAAGACGCTCAACTAGATTTATATTAGTGCAACATTGACCTATGTGATGTGGCGTAAAGAAAATTTTTGTAACGTCAGTGTAATCTAAGGAGTAATCTACCCTTAATTTCGTGAGGTAATTTAAGTTTGTTATGTCGTTACAGGGTGCTGGATACCTGCCTTTTGAAAGTTCTAATAGCTTTCCGTTTTAAATTAAATACGTATTAGTAATTTATTTCGTCTTTCGTAATGTCACGCTAATTGACTTAATGATCTCAGTGATTACTTTATAAATGAATTGTAACCGATATTTATAGTGTTCCAGAGAAGACAAATTCTGTTCTATTAGCCCAATTACATGTTCACGAACTTAATTTGTATATTTATATAGTTCGCATGCAATAGGCTGATTTTGTTAGCAGTTTATGACTTCTTGAGGCTCAAAATTATTCTAACTATAGTAGATCTTCACTAAGGGCCTAGCGATTTCACTTACGTTGATTTCTTTATCAAGGACAAGATTTCACTTACGTTGATTTCTTTATCATGAACAGGTTTTAAAGAAATAAAATACATAGTTGTTAGCTTGAAACTTCAGCGTCCAACCGCACCAGACTCTGGTTTTAAGTTTCTGTGAATTCAGTAAGGAGCCTTATATCAGTTCCATCCATTTACTTTGTTAGTGTTTTCCAATAGCAAAGAAGGTATGACAGGCAAACATGGTTTTTGCCAAACATGTCCATAAACCTGCATGTACCATTTGCAGCAGTGACGCACCTAGCTGAAGGATTGTCTCTCTTAAATGCACTGCTCACCTCACACGCTGAATGCAGAAAATACTCTTATTTGACTCGAAGGCACACGAATACCAACAGTGTCAGTGATGATGATAGTAATAATTCACTTCTTTACTAAATTATTAATTACTGGTGTGCTGCATCAACAGGTAGCCAGTTTTATATCGCGTTTAACAATGGAAACATTTACGAATGGAAAGGTTGGATATTCAAAGCCGCCTGCGGAATTCATGTTAAAAGCGACCTTGCACCTGTGATCTGCATTTTCAAACCTGCAACGATTCAAGCAGATTATCTACAGTAGAAGATTCTTAGCAGTCGTGAACTCAGGTTCTTGGTATTTATAAGCCACTTCGTGCAGCCGTACCCGTTTCTCTGTTCATACACATTGAGATTCTGTTTATTCAATTAGAACTGAACGTTTCTCCACCCGGTTGTCTTTGTTCAGTGTGGGATGGAAGTACCCATCAATTCGCCAGTGTACTGCAAGGTATGCGGTAGTCGCATCTCTTGTGTTTATTTTTTTGTAAGACTGAAAGGTTCGACGTATGGTTTCTGATAATCTAGTTGTGATGTAGGATTGCATTCTGCAGTCAACTTAAATACCTGTGACATGTAAAGTTGAAAATATACAATACAATTAATCATTTTACGTCACCC